CCCCCAAAAAAAAAAAAAATATATATATATATCTGCTTGTTAATCTTACAGTGCTAAACATAGATAAGACCTGTTGTCTAATGTAATCATGATACCTACAATCACGAGGTCTGGGTAGTGGCTGAAAGAATGAGATTGTGGAAGAAGTTCAGTAATTTGGGAGGGATTTGGAGATTAAAGTGATAAACACATTAATAAATCAATAAGGAAACGACTAATAACTATTATTTTTAAAAATGATAATGATTCTGAAAAAGGACGATTCTGTATAATCTTCATTTTCCATTAAGTGCACTTTGATGCCTTGCTGCACAGTCACAGTGGAAAAACCCCAAAAGTCAAGGGGATAAGGAGGAGTACAATCAGTAGCTTTTCCCACACCCTCTCCTTTTCCCCCATCGGTCTTTATCTAAGAGTAAAGTTGAACTATTAAACTCCAGCTTCCCTCAAATGACTTCAGTAAGTTCATCATTCATTTCTGACTGTCGGCAGTGTCAGGAGAATCCCCGCTCATGGGTTTTTGCAAAGTTGAAATACCTTTAATGCAGATTAGTGTCTATTCACATCATCCAGTGCAAATTTCACTTTGTGGCTAACATGAATACATCTTTAGGCTAAGAAATATGAAACATGATATTCGCTTACACAAAGAGTCTTTCATGTATCATCATTTATATTAGGGCATAGAGCTACACCAACCTCAAATTGTATTTACTTCTGATCAAATATTCTGATTTCCAGCCTCCCCTCTTCGACCCAACCTGCCCTGTTATTCTTCTATCCTGTTCCACCCCATTAACAATTCCTGGAAACACCCCTGTTTCTTTCATATCAACATTCAATGAAGTTTAGGCAAAATAAGAAATATACAAAATGCTTAATAACAATACCTCCCCCACACTATGAAATCAACCTTGTCTAGTGTACTAATAAAAAAGATATATATAATCAAATAAATGAACTGTGTTGGTTTGCATTTCCAATTTTTGATGTTTAAGTCTCAGTTGTTCTGAGAACCTTAGTCTTCACTGTGTACAACAGCTGCAGGGATACTGAAAGCAGCAACATCACATACAATAATATACACATAATATACAATATACAATAATGAAAAAATTAAACATTAAAATCAAAATACCAAACAACTTGTTTATGTGATTATTCCCCGCTTGAGTTGTGTGATTATTACTGCCTCTGAATGATGCATGAGCCCATGCACACTTTCATAAACAGCATTAAATGAACTGCTTTAACAAAACAAATACTCAACTGTCAATAAAACCAATTAAGTATGCAAAATCTGACCACAGAACTAAAACTTGCTAACACAATGACATGTTCCTTAAAGCCCTTTTGGAGCATATGCAGGCCTCACATCTTGACAACTTGTAATCCTGGTGACACCCTGTGCAATACGATTTACCACAGAGGCTACAAATACTTTGGAAGGTATGCTTGTCTCTACATGGACTAATTATATCACCACAATAGCATGTGTGCAACATGCCCTCATCAAACTTCACATGTGTGCAGTAGATATCAAAATAAAGTTTGACCACGGGTGTCATCTGACCCATAGACATGAAGGAAGTTCTATTATTTTTGTTTGAAAGACGCCATATAAAGTAACCTTCATCCGGTGTGCATTTACAAGATCAACACAAAGCCAATTTGTGTTTATTTATGATTTTTTATAAATAAACCTGTTGGCCCATTCATTAAGTGAGATAGAAGAGCTTATCAGTCTGAGTCTGTCTGCGTCAAAACAATCACTCGGAACTGTGCAAGGTGCACTCATGAAACCTTATTGATGTGTATTTGGTATCAAAACAGCGGGGGAGTTCAAAGGTGAGCGTGGTTCAGAGCACAATCACAGTAAAGTGTGATAATCTAAGTATGGGATCTAAGTCTGACTTACGTAGAAGTATCAAATCTCACTAATGTACTCATTCAGAACACAACAAGCATCCCACTGTGATACTCCGTTCATCTGGCTTTTATTTTTGAAGTCCACAGCGGAAGTCTCGGTTTTCAGGCTTGTCACTGGTAGCAACAATAAACCACAAGCACATTATTATTCATTGAGCTTTAGTCCTTTTTCTAAGAAGCTGCAAAACCAGCACTTGGTTTATATAAATCTCATGTTGCTGGATTTAAAAGTGAGGAGACATTAAACATGAGCAGCTACTGATATGTGCTGAGGGGTCCTGTCTGTATGCAGCAGCTCACGGTGTCAGTCAGTAGTTGTTTTGCATGCTTTTGTGATTGATGCAGTCAAATAAACAGAAGAAAATATTCAGAGCTTTCCTTTTTTTATCATCTGTATTTTTACTTTTTTGAGACGCTTCCTGTGGTTTGGCCTTTAGAGGGCTCACTTACACAGCTGCTTCTGTACTTTAATGGGAGGGGGGTAGGTCCATAATGAAAACAGTCTACAACATAAAACAATGCTGACTGTTAGAGGGAAGCATTTAGTGCTGTTAAGAGTTACCATCTGTTTTCCTCTACTGTTGTGTTTACTTTTTCCACTTTACACCAGGAGTCCAGTCCAATGTCCATACTGTGCTCTGTGATAAACACAGGTCGGTGTTCCAGGATCATACAGGAAAGTGTTCTTGTTTAAATAGGGCTGTGCACAACAAAAGCAAGGATAAATATTCAGTTTTCCCTACTTGGTCTTCTTATGGTCTCTTCTTTCACAAAAAACAATGAAATTATGACAAACGCTTTAGGGCAATTCTGTCTTTTTGCCCTCTTCTCCTTATTCACAGCATTAAGTAAACCATACCTCAGCTTAAACTTGAACTTTTGTACTCTTTTTCTTTTTGTCTGAAAGCTATATTTGGTGGAGCGATGAGATTAATTTGCTAAGAATTCAAAATACAACTTTATTGTAGAATCATCACATGTTCTTTAGGAAGTTTATTTGAAATGAAAAGTGGAATCATCCAATCACATGACAGCAACTCAGTGCATTTAGGCAGGCTGACATTGTCAAGATGACCAGCTGAAAATCAAACTGAGCATCAGAATGGGGAAGAAAGGTGAATTAAGTGACCTTGAAAATGGTATGTTCGTTGGTGCCAGATGTGCTGGTGTGAGTATTTCAGAAACTGCTGGGATTTTCCCATGCAACTATCTCTATGATTTACAGAGAAGAAAATGAGAAAATATGCTTTGAGCAGCAGTTTACTGGGTGGAACTGCCTTGTTGATGTCAAAGGTCAGAGGAGAATGGGGAGACTGCTTTGCGCTGACAGGAAGGCAACAGTAACTCAAAATAATCACTCGTTACAACCAAAGTATGCAGAAGAGCATCTCTGAATCCACAGGACATAGAACCTCGAAGCCGATGGTCTGGAGCAGCACAAGATCACACCGGATGCCCACTCTTGTCAGCTTAGAACAGGAAACTGAGTGTATAATTCACACAGGCTGAACAAAACCGGACAACAGAAGATTGGAAAAATTTTGGCTGCTTTGATCAATTTCTGCTGTGACACTTGGATGACAAGGTCAGAACTCGACATACACAACATGAAAGCATGGCTCTATCCTGCCTTGCATATAGAGTTCAGGCTGCTAATGGCGTGGGCCACTTTGGGCCACTCGAGCGTCACTTAAACATCACAGCCTGCAGCCGATTGTGTCCATCCCTTTATGACTACAGTGAAATTATTTTCTAATGGCTCCTTCCTGTAGGATAAAAGCTATTAAAGTCTGACCAAAGTGTCTAACTAAAACACTTTTCATCGCAAACGCTGTCTCATGTTTCATCTTGTACAGCATGTCTTCAAACTGCGGTGGTGTCCAGGGTGGAAGAGGGGACCCAAATGCAGCACACATAGGCAGACTAAAATGAAAGAGAGACATTTATTGATCCATATAAAGTCCAAATGGATAGATCCAGGGAATATCCAATATACACAAACAATACATAACAAAAACCCACAGAAATAAAACAGCTGCAAAAAAAGGAAACATGACCTGGGAATTATATTTGCATTATATTATCTGATGATTAGGCCCCTACTCATAAGATGTGGTTAGCTTTTGGGGAGTCCCATTTAACAAACGGCTATCTTGTCTATTATGTTGGAATTTGTATTTTGATTGATTTGTGAATGAACTAAACTAAACTAAACCGTTTGACAAAAAGAATCAAAGCCATTTCCAAACAAGCCAAAAATCATACCATCTGAGGAGCATCACAGGTGGCTTATTTAATTTCATATATATAACGAATTTAAACCCTACGTGAGCTTTTACTATTACTGTTTTTCAAAGAATTTGCTTAAATACAGATCAGAATAAAGATCTCTGCTGAGAGGAGCCACCCCCTCCTCAGCAGCGGCAGCAGCAGCGCCCCTCTGTGCTGTTGTGAGTTACGTGGACACGTACGTGCGTGTTATTTACATCGTGGTGTCGGGCTGGCTGCTCGCATGTGCCGCTGCCCGTCTCCTTTGTCCTGCTTCACAGCTTCACTGGGTGTCATGGGCCCTGCCTGCAGGGAGAGGAGCTTTGTCACTTTCCTCATCACACTGGATCCCTCGCCGCAGCAGTCCTCATCACCATCACCATCGCATCGCGAGAAGAGTCACAGCCTCTCAGTCTTCTTCGGAGGCACAATGACCGCGTTCCCGTAGGCTACACCATGCGAAGTGTGCCCACCTGAAACAGGCTGGGGATGCAGCATCCTTTGAGCCCTTCTGTTTGGGTTCCTGCTGCACTGGTTTCCTGCGGATGATGCGCGGAGGAGTTCGCGGCGTGTTTATGTCTCACTCTGCTTTGGAAAGCCCCCATCCCATCAGGAGATCCATGCACCACCGGTCTTTGTGTTGTTGTTATTACCATGTCCCCAGCATCGGCTGCAACGGCAAGTGAAAGCGCCACCGCCACCACCACCGTCCCCGAGGAGGAGACGGAAAGCCCCCGGGAAGAGGTAAGAATTGTTTGCAGTAAATTAAGGCTTTTGAGTAGTGTGGCATGTTTAAGTGACAGGCTGCCTCTGTGCGTGCTCACTGTAATAATCTCACTGTAATAATCATTTGGCTCTTTTTTTTTTATAGATTATGATTTAAGTGTTTGCACAGCACTTAAAGCGCTTTATTTGCCTATTATACGAACCCATGCGCGCACTCGAGCGTGTGAACGGCATGATTACGCTCCTGTGTCCTCCAGGCAGGCTTCCAAAATTAGGTTTAAGAATCTATCACGGTCCAATCAGGTACACGAAAGTGTTAAAACAAAAACTTATTTTGCTCATATCTTTCCAGAAGATATTGCAAGTCACGCAGCATTTAAAAGACATGTTGACGTTACTAGGGCGGGGAGAAGTGAGATGCTATATTAGGGGGGGGGGGAGTCTGTAAATTTCCCTTAAGGAAAACTAAAACAGATTTGGAAACATAAGGATTCAACAGCAGTTTTCCTGAATTAAACTATAACACCCAATTCCTCTCCTTCTTCTCCAGTCTTCCCCTACATGCACACATGCTGGGCAAGTTACATATCCATTACACAAGAGAGTCTTTTTATATAACCTAGCTGGTCTTATTATGTCAAGAGAAAGTGTCCATGACTGCGAGAGGCACTAAAGGCACCACGGCAGCCTCCTGAATGTGAAGACTGTACAGATTTGAACCTTCTTGAAACTGTTTTTCCTTTTAACCATAGCCACTTTCATATTAAAATCTATGACTCCAATGAGTGCAAACTGTAAAATTACATTAGGATATAAGCACGTAAGGTGGTGTGCTGAAGTGATTCGCTGTTGTTGCTTTCATGCAAAGGGAATTTTCACTAAATACAAAACAACACTGAAACCAAATATTAAAAAATGATACAAGAGCCTTCAGCTAACTGTACAGAGAAGACTTTTAGAGCTGTTTCATACAACAACTGCCTTAAATATAAATGTAACTCAGTACAATTAAAAAATGGATTCTCCTTCCATATTTTAGGACCAGCGCAAGGTTTTTCTAACACATTTTTAATCAGATTGTAACATGCAGAGATGCATTTGCTTTGCAGGCACATAATCAGAACGATATCTCCTACTGCACAACTGTTCATCATTAACCTCGAGCCTGTAAAATGTAACACTAGCCACAAAGTGTGCCACGTAGTATTGATTGTAATTTTCGAACGTGGCCAGAATGCCGGTGAGCGAGCACTCCTCCTGCAGGAGGTTTATCTCAGTGGGGAATTTCACTGTTAATCCCTTTTGCTCTGTGGGGTGTAGCCTTGGGTTGGCAGTGTGCTTGAGGACCATGTGACCAAGGTCGGGAAGTTAATTACGATGCAAGAACATTGATTATTTATGCTCGTCTGTCACTCGAAGAGCACAGAGCTGACATGTCGAGTTCAATAAATCAGCGCTGTGATAGAGCAGATGCTTTTTTTTTTTAATGTGGTGTTTAGAGGCGACCTATAGATCAAAATCTAGACATTTACAGTCTGAAGCGAGGTCTGTCATGCAAATTTTTTTTGAATGAATTTAGTGATAATCTTCCCCTTCCTGGGACTTTTGAATCTCTGCCAGGTTTTGTGTGGCTGTGCTCCTGCAGGGCGTAACCAGCTCTCGAGCTCTTTGATGCAGCCGCTGGGGCTTGCTGTGCCCCGAGGAGATAAAGGATGGCACCATCTAAATGCTGCCCAAGTCAGACTACAGCCTTTTTTTCTGCCTGTCAGCCTAAATGTTTTTGACTCTTTAAAAGCATGTCAGTTCTTTCAAGTCTTTCAACTCTCACGTGACAACAGGATTTCTTTTGCATTTTAATGGTAATAATGAAGGAATCGTCTGATTATAACATGCACAGAGCAAGAAATGAGCAGTTGGCTCTTGGCTCATGCATAAACTATGCAAAAGCACTTACAACGAAGAATATTTCCTTAAATATTTTATACTCATGAGCCGCTGCTCCTTAACTTTTTGCCTACAGGTATTTAGGTTGTGTTCATCAATGCCACATTAAAATGTGTCATTCATTTAAATCTTCAGGTATAGGTTACTCCTTCTTATATTATTATGTTAATACCTGTGTTTGTAATCATTTCTTTTTCTCTTTTGCAGCAACAGCCTCAGAAACAGTCTCTGGCTAAGTCCTTGTGTCAGGAAACTCACTGGAAATGCCTGCTGCTGTCACTGCTGATGTACGGCTGTGTCGGGGTGATGGCCTGGTGCCAGGTGACAGAGGTCACGCGCCTCACCTTCAATAGCGCCTACAAGGGAAACTCTATGATGTACCATGACAGTCCCTGCTCCAATGGCTACATCTACATCCCCCTGGCCTTCCTGGTCATGCTCTATGTGGTCTACCTGGTCGAATGCTGGCACTGCTACACCAGGAATGAGCTGCAGTACAAGGTTGATGTGGACAGCGTGACGGAGCGCATGCAGCGCATGCAGCAGGCTACGCCTTGCATCTGGTGGAAGGCCATCAGCTATCACTATGTCAGGAGAACGCGACAGGTGACACGTTACCGTAACGGAGATGCCTACACCACTACACAGGTCTACCATGAGAGAGTAAACACCCACGTAGCCGAGGCGGAGTTTGACTACGGTAACTGTGGGGTTAAGGACATCTCGAAGAACTTGCTGGGCCTGGATGGTTTCCCCATCACCAAGCTGAGGTTCACCAAGTGCTTTAGCTTTGCCAATGTGGAGTCTGAAAACTCCTACCTGAACCAGCGGGCCAGGTTCTTTACAGAAAACGAGGGCCTTGATGATTACATGGAGGCACGTGAGGGGATGCACCTGAAGAATGTCGACTTTAAGGAGTATATGATTGCCTTTTCTGACCCTGATCACCTTCCCTGGTATGCTTCCAACTCCACCTTCTGGGTAGCGGCTGCTTTCACCTTGTCCTGGCCTATGAGGGTGCTGACAGAGTATCGTACTGCCTGTGTGCACTACCATGTGGAGAAGCTGTTCGGCTTTGACTACGTGCCAGTAACGCCATCTGAGGAGCGGGTGTATTGCAGACACATCCCACGGGTCAACACAATTGACAGCACAGAGCTCGAGTGGCACATCCGCTCCAACCAGCAGCTAGTGCCCAGCTACTCTGAGGCGGTTCTCATGGACCTGGCCCAGCTCTCAGGGAGCTGTAACAGCTACTCCTTATCCGGAGGCTACGGCAGCTACAGGCAGAACTGCGAACGCTGCCACCGTGCCATAAGCAGCTCCTCCATCTTCTCCCGAAGCGCCCTCAGCATCTGCAACACTGGGAGCCCCCGCATCCCGTTCAGCGCCAGCCGCTTCTCGCTGGGTCGGCTGTACGGCTCCAGGCGGAGCTGCCTGTGGAGGAGCAGCGGGAGCCTGAATGAGCAGTCGTGTCCCACAGAGAGCACGCGCTGTCTGTCAGGCCAGCAGGCCGGTGAGGAGAACCCTCCAGCCTATCAGGACGCGCTGTACTTCCCAGTGCTCATCGTGCATCGCAACGAAGGCTGCCTCAACCACGACCACCGCTCGCTGCACAGAAATGGCTCCTGTGTAGAAACTTCACTCTGATGACACGAGCTAAGGCCAAGGAAACTCTTTATACATGGACTCTTGTGTCTCTTTAACACAGAGATTTTAAAAAAAGAGCATTCTCTGAGTTACCACAACAAAGGATTTGTTAACATTTCTAAACATACTGTCACCTGACACAACAGCAATTACAACAAAGTATGTGTGTGGAATTTATCACTCAATACATCAGGGAAAAACAGACCCGATGAGACAGTTGTTTAAAATACAGCGAGGCTTTAAGCAGCCCTAAAGTCATGTGCAGCCCTAAAGAGTCTGTTGAGATTCAGATAACCAATGAAAATCAAGGGCCATCCCATCCTAGTGTAAATGCCATATTTACAGATCGTAGTCACAGATAATTTACAAAGATATGAGTAACATTTCCCGGTATATGAAGCCTGAAATGGGCTTTGACTCAGCAGCAAATTAAAAAATTAAATGGATGCCAAACGAGAAATGGAACGCAAAGATAAGCAACCCTGTCAAAACACACTAACGAGACTAAGTAGTTTTGCTGAAACCAAACACCCTAACCCTCTCATGGCTCTTATCAAAGTGAAGTCAGTACAGTCGACAAATACAGAAATCTGCATGTTAACACATTTTGATCCTGGATGATTTAATGTCTCCATTCAAAGTTAATGCTCATGGAAATCCATTTAGAGGGAAAAAAAAACTGAAAATAAATGTGCGGATAAAACATTCAGTCAGCTGATATGTGCTTGGCTGCAATGACATTAAACTCCGTGGCTCGCCAAATATAGCACAGGAGGAGTTTGAATAATTTAGCAGACGAGGGCTGAAGGACACGAGGATTTAAAACTGATTCATAAACACTTCTTTAAACTGTTCAAACTGTACATTTTGTAAAGCAGTAAAAAATACCCTCACTGCACTGCTGAGAAATCAGTGTCAACTCCGCCAGTTTAAAATCTTAAAGATCCATTTAGGTTCGCGTTGGGCAATATTTTCATTGAGCCTACCTCTTTATTTAAGTGCCTAGCATCAACCGTTACTGACAAGCACAAGCTGCAATGACTTCTCATCTCATCTCACTATCCTCCCATTAAAACAAGCAGAAGAACACCCCAAGGTTATTGAAAACATAGGCAAAAATGCACAAGTTTGTAAGAATCAGACACAAAATGCTTTTCAGATTTCTTTTTCACATTACTCACACAGCCAGCCCTGTGCTGCTGCTGCTGCTGCTGATGCATATCAGAGAGACAGCTAGAGAGCTGGCCATCGAAAACACTCGAAATAGGCAGAGGCCTGGATTCACTACTGATAGTGTCAGATTTAATAATATAAAAGGATTACTTTAAAACAATAAAACCTACTTCCTCTCAGCTGAGTGCATGCGGTATCTGATGGGAAATTTACTTTTGCAGCCAAGAACCGAAGCAGTGTTTAATGCAAACAGTGACAAAAGCCACTCCCCGCAGCACAACCCATTGCTCAAAGTTTGGTTTATTTCTTCCAGCACTCCTTAATATTTTTGGACAGTCTTTTAGCCACTTGAAGGAATGGAGGTTAAGCATAGAGGACGTCCATAACGACGGATATACATGCATCATACTGCCATTACGGCCATAACTGAATACTATGAACCTCACCTGTGTTTAGACATTTGGTGTTGAGATTTGCCTTCCCGATAAAGTGATCAATCGGCCATACTCATTACATTCCATGTGTGTTGTTGTGTTTGGAGCTGTGGACTGAGACACAACCCCCTCATAACAGACTGAGTCACGTTTAACTAACAATTTGAACCTGTTTTGACAACTCAAGGTCATCTATGCAACCTCACCCCAAACTCAGGATAGTATTCAGGTCAACGATTCTGCTTGCAACAACATCCCGATAATTCACTCATGTTCTCATCTGCACATAAAGAAGGCAGAGGTGCAGATGCAAACATCTCCAGTCATTGAGTTTCACTTCTGCACTTGCTATTCATAACCATCACTTAGTCTGTGTGTAAAGGTCCGGTAAATTGCAACGTTTTAAAGTCGATTTTTGCTAAAATTGATTCCACCATGAAACACAAGAAAAATGCGGTATCTTAGCATGAAAAAGAGGTTATTACCAGAGAAATCTTCCACTAGAAAAAACATCTGCATTATCAAAGAAAGCAAAACAACCCTTCAGAATAATACGTCTCATATTGCCTCTCTAACAACTTAATGCGGTGGGTTATGAACAGCTTCAGGCTCCTGTATTCAAGATGCTAACACCAAAATCTCACCTGAAATCTTGAGATAGGGGGACATTTATGACAAGTGTTTGAAATTAATTAGTTTAATCACAGAAAAACTGAAGTGTACAAATGGCAAGTTATTATTTTAGCCTCTCTATACATCTCTATTTTTAGTGGTTCCAGTGTGTATGGTAAACTATTCACAGAACAGATGTCAGTGATCTGAGCTAAAATGGCTGGGAATCAATTGAGCTAATAAGTTAATTTTTAGCCCATTCAGATTCTTTACTTACTTATTTTGTAGCTGTGAAGGACTGGATCACAACCGAGCTCGTGCTGGTCAGAAGTCAGAGACTCAAGTGGACTTGCATGACTCAGAGGACAACACAAATAACAGCATGCAGTCTCCACAGGGCATTTAAATGTACCGAAATGTCTTTTTTGTTATGTTAATCAAAATATAGGAGGATGCACTGGATGTCAATGCTAAAGTCACTGTGCCACTATGAAATCATCACAATCTCTCCTTCATCATCATCATCAAGCCTCTCAGGTGGCTTCACTGTGATATTCATACATAGTCCCATGTAAGAATAGAAAAATGTGTTTACCCGTGAAATGTTTACGCAGCAACAGAAACAAGCTATTTGACTGATTACAATCTGACTGAAAGTTTAAAAGCTATACACTTTTCCTCTATAGATGACTGTTAGAATAACATTTCTGCAAAGAAAGCAGCTATAGCCGTTATCATGTCTTATGATGTAGATTAGGCTCGTACGATTTGTATTCTTTCACTCAATGATGCTTTGGGCCTCATCTTTTTATACTTCCATAAATCTGTGGATTTTTAACATTGTAGAGCAGGATGGCTTTGTACTGTAAATAAATAGAGACAGGAGTGTGGAATGTCAGTCGATGTGGATATTGTGTGCACACATGCACACAAACACACACTTAATGGTAACTGGAGCAGGGACAGATTTGATGTGTTGCTATTAAATGGAGAGAAGCAGAACAGTCCCCCTAAAAAGGCTGTTTTGGGATGGTTTTGTTTCCCTTTAAACACGTTTTTAATCATTTTAGAATACTTTTTTTAAAAATACAAATGCTGTTGGTGTGATTTGACTGCTTTGGGATAAGGTATATCTAAGCATAAACATATGCTTAGTGATTACTAAGGATCTAAATATAATAAATCAGTATTCTGTCATAGATCTTTCTGCATTTTGGCTAAATTAGTCCAGAATAACCTCTCTTCAATTGACTCTGGAGACTGATTTGTGATTTTAGGTGTGACACCTGTGACATACACCTGATTCATGGCTATGACTGTAAATTACATCTGACTGATAATTTTGTTGCCGCCTAGTTCAAGAGTTACACTATTTACTAGTAGATTATAGGTAAAAATAAAACAATGCAAGTCTGTATGTATTCCAACACCATCACGACGTTGCCTTGATGTTACATAAGGACTGAATACCAAACATGTGTATCAAAGTAGAACAAAAAACTCAATAAACTGAAATGCTCACTAAAATATCTGGTCTATTTGCTTAAAAATACACAACAGACATGCCAGAAAGACTATGATCACTGATCTGAGGTCAACTGATGCAACCAGTTTTGCATGTTTGTGAGCCAAAGGAAACTTTTGATACGGTCAACAAGTGTAGTAAATACAACAGAAGCAACAGTGTGCTGGTCCATCCCCTCGGTCCCAAGCTCATTGGTTCCTGTTGCTTCATATGAATCAAAACAGGACATATTTATTCACACTTACTCATTGTCTAAAAAGTCTCAGCTGGAAGATTTCTGGAAATGTTACTCGAACTGGAGTAAATGTGCATTGATTGTGTTTTCAAGTGTTGAGTTGTGATGTGTCCACAGAGCACACAGAAAGGCAATTAAATTCTAAATGTCATCCCTCCCCCTGCTGGCTACGCAAAGTGGGTATTTTGCAGTCTCCTGCAAGTGCTCAACTTGCAGGAGACTGTTTGAAACAACAACTAATGACAGCGCAGGGTACCCATGATTGATACATGACCTGGTCTGCCAGCAAACAATCATCGACTTCAATCATTATGAATTAAGTAGATATCAGACAACTCATTTGAGATAGTTTAAAGATCTTAATGACACATCATATCCTGCATTTTTCTCACGTTAGAATTAGTGTAGGGCTCACTTACATCTGTTGTGCTTTAGAGCAAATTTGGTTGAATTTTGCTGCATATTTTCGTTTATTGTGGTTTTAGATGAATACGTTCATCTATTGCAAAGACAGACGGCTGATAAAGATAGGTTTATATTATAAAAACCATCAGTTGGCATTCTCAGTATTCTTCTCTCTTGGGTTTGTTTCTTGTTTTCTAAACTGGTTGTTCCAAACCATTTGGTTAATGACGGAAACTCTCCGCTCTTCGATGTCTGTCAGGTGGATACTGCATTCTGTCACACTGGTGTTGCGAGACATCGCCTCCTCCAAAGCGTTCCCTCCAACCTGCACAAATGCAAACACACACACACACACACACCTAAAAGCTCTGCTGATGGCCTCAATAACCTTGAAAAAACATCTCACTGCTAACCTTGCAGTTTGAAATACGGCACGCTTTATAAGCTCCCCTTTGCTGGTGCTACCAGTCTTTTGCTGTTTTTTGTAAAACAGACATTTCTATTTCTGAAACCAAGGTCAAAAATATTGATGGTACTGCATGTTGGATTTCTGCTATGTGGGTGATTTTTGATCCTCCACAGTGTATTCCAGTCAGAGATACAATATGCAGTTAAAATCCGAAGAAGAGAGAGCATGAGAAGGGGGAATTCAGATCTACCTCTCTTGGGGAAACAACACTTACTCAGTTTTCCATTATTACATGTTTTCCCACACATATCTATGAATAATTGAAAATCCTAGTACTTTACAGCTGCTCTGTGGACTTCACTGTGCTGTGTCTGCACAGGCGTGAGTATGCTTTGAGAGTTTTTCAAAATAAACCAGCATTCCTGACAAATGTAACAATACTGTCACAAATTTAACAAGTAATAAGTGGTTACAGTGAAACCATAACTTAAAATAACAGTTTCACTCTTCCTCTCTTTCTTTTTTTTAAAATCAATTATCAGTTTTATTAACTTATTGATATACTGTTTATGAGCCATGTTGACTAAATTAAAATAGCTTATTTGGTCTAAACAGCAGTCAAAAATAATTAAAGAAGAAATAATATCACAGAATAAAAAACCATATACACTTTAGTTGCTCGGACAGATGGATGTTTTCAACGCTATCCTTAATTGTTGCTGAGTAAAGTTCTAATAAATGAATAATCAGTTAATTATCAGTTAATTATTTTACACATGAAATTACATGAAAAGATGTGATGTGGTCTTTACAAGCCTATGATGGCAATAGCCTCCTACATGGCATAGAGGGCATAGAGGGCCTAGAGGGCGAGATGAAGAGAAGGGCACTATGCAAATAAAATAATTTTGGACCTACTTCTAGACAATAAGAAGAAATGTATCAACTGAATGTCTGAATTTAAAGGAAACTATTCAAATGTCTTAATTCTTATGCAAAGATGCCCAATTTATCCATAAAATGTTATGTTTGTTAATGGTCTTTTAAGGATTCACTTTCTTGGTGGCACTTGGTTCCAGATTCCAAATACAACACTAGGAACGTAGTTAAATCAAAAGAGAAACTTGGATGTGCATGTGAAAAAAAGGAAAGTTTTGAAGTCTAACCTTAAAATTAAAGAGTTTGTCTGTCGCCTGATACACTATATTGCCAAAAGTATCCACTCCCTCACCAAACTTATTTAATTTAGGTGTTCCTATCACTTCCATGGTGTATAAAATCAAGCACCAGGGCATGCAGACTGTTTCTACAAACATTTGTGAAAGACCAGGTCATTCTCAGGAGCTCAGTGAATTCCAAGTGTAACGCAAAGCGTTGAATGCAGTGGTGTAAAGCAAGCCGCCACTGGACTCTAGAGCAGTGGAGATATGTTCTCTGGAGTGATGAATCACATTTCTCCATCTGGCAATCTGATGGATGAGTCTGGCTTTGGCCTCATAGTTCCACTGAAAGGAACTCTTAATACCAAAGACATTTTGGACAATTTTATGCTTCCAACTTTGTGGGAAAAGTTTGGAGATGGCCCCTTCCTGTTCCAACATGACTGTGCACCATTGTACAAAGCAAGGTCCATAAAGGTCTCGATGAGCGAGTTCAGTGTGGCAGAATTTGAGTGGCCTGCACAGAGTCCTGACCTTAATCTGATAGCTTTGGGATGAAATAGACTGGAGACTGCTAGCTAGACCTTCTTGTCCAACATCAGTGTCTGACCTCACAAATGTGCTTCTGGTAAAATGGTCAAAAATTCCAATAAACATACTATTAAATCTTGTGGAAAGCCGTCCCAGAAGAGTTGAAGCTGTTATAGCACCAAAGGGTGGGCCAACATCATATTAAACCCTATGGATTACGAATGGGACGTCACTTACGTTCATATGCGTGAGAAGGCAGATGAGCGAATACGTTTGGCACTATAGCGTAGCTCAAGGCTTAGTCTCTAATTATAGGAACTCTGAGCATAAAGGGCTCTGTTGGGATAATAATCAAACCAAAAGGTCTTCAAGATATGAAGGGGCATGGTCATTCAGGACTTTGTATGTACTTTGTATGTGCGGACAAGGATTTTAAATTCACTTCTGGATTTAATTAACTAACAAGGCAGAAACATGATCTTTCTATTCCTGTTAGTGCTTTCTTGAATATAGGGTTGTAGGGTTTTGATGGAAATTTTATCTTTGTCAACGCAAATTTCATAGGATGGTTAGGGTGCAGAATTTATACATTTTGGATAAAATGCATTCTGCAGTCCGGAGAAATGCAATCAGTTTTCTTTCAATATTAAAACAGCCACAGAATAAGGAATTACAATAGACTACTTTTTTCAGCATCTTTCTGAGACAGCATGTTTCTAATTTTAGCAGTTTTCCTTGCTGCGAAAAGTAGACTTATGGCTCTCTTACCTCACCCAGTGTATTGCAGGAGAGATTGATGCTCTTCAGGGTGTTATTCTGTGCTAACATACTGGACAGGGAAAGCGCAGTAAGCCAAGTCACCCCATTGGCTCCCAGTTGCAGGTGAAGTAGGGTTTTGTTGTTCAACAAGGCCTTACAAATAGCCTGACCACCCTCATCCTTCAGACGGTTCAGACATAGGTTGAGGGACACAAGAGTTGTGTTCTTGGACAAGGCTTGAGCTATAGCCTTGGCCCCAGGGCCGCCAATATTGTTGTCATACAGGTTAAGGATCTCCAGCTTGCTCTTTGTGAGCAATTTGCCGATGGCTCTGGCTCCGCTGTCTCCAATCACGTTGTGAGAAAAATCTAGAGTGCGCAGGGAGGTGTGGTCTAAAAGGTACTTCACCAACAAACGACACTTTTTATCCTCAAGGTGGCTTAGATGGAGCCTAAAGAGCTGAGGAAACAGTAAGAACCTGTGATGGGTCTTTCCAAGCAACACACAAAAAATAACATGCTTACGCATCAGCACCACACAATCAGCTAAGTAATGTTTTATGGGTAAACATTGAAAAATGAATCAGTGCCTCCGCGGACACCCTCAGAATATGCTTGCCTTCATTTTTAGTGCTACAAGCTCTCAAAGTAGAAAGTGGATGCTGGAAATTTGGCACTTTTTTGATCGGATTAAAATTTATTTTTTGGGGAGATGTACCATCATACCATTGTGTTTCTGTTGGATAAGTAGAAGAAAAACAGATGGAATAGATGTTCGGATAGACACTTAAACATGGACTATCCATCCATACATACATACATAAAAACAGTTAAAAACTATAATAAGATCAAATTTTTTATCAGCCTTTTTTTTTGTTCAGCAAAATTTCTTCTATAATCAACTTTGAGCATCAGTATTGGAATATGAAATAGATAGAGCTTGGTCATTCAGGAGGGGCTCTGAGTAGAGCTGCTACTCTTCCACATTGAAAGTCCAGGTCAGGGGCTTCTGGCATCTGATTAGGATACCTAATGGATGCAGGTGAGGTATTTGGGTGTCCACTAGTACAAGAAGGTGCCAGGGCAGACCCATTACTCACATGAGAGATTACATCTCTTGGCCTGCTTAAGAATGCCTTGGGCTCTGCGTGTCTCTGCTAAGATAAAAATTAATGGATAGATTGCAAGTATTAAAATATTACAATATTACACAAAATACATTTTGCATTTTTTTCTGCAGAACTTTTGACACATCCTTTGATGTTGATGCTCAAAGTTGGTCACAGAAAAACAACTGCATTGAGCAAACAAATAGATTTTGACTCTTGAGTGCAACACTTGTCCTGGGTTTTAAAACTGCTATTTTGCTGTAGCTTTTTGAGCTTTTTTGTTCCAAAAATATCCTGCAGCTATCCTGCAGGATCAAAATGCTGGAAAACAAAATAAGGTGCCAGATTTCAACCCAATCCCACTCCTGTTATTTGAGGGCTTGT